GATATCTGTCTCTTCTTCCCCCCCCCCACTTCCCAATTCCACTGTCAAGTGATGTCGTCTCAGTCTCCTCCTCCCCCCTCCTCCTTATTTACCCTCTCTGCTGCCTTGTGAGTGATGACAGCTTTGGCATCATCTCTCCCCTTCACCCCTCCTCCCCCTTTTTGCCGCTTCCTACCACCCTCTCCATCGATGATTGTCTTTTGGGTGATGTTATTTCTGTCTCTCCTACCCCTCCCCATCCCCTATCCACCTGCCCCTCGTCATCACCCCCCCCCCCCCCAAAAAAAAACCAAAAAAAAACACCCCCGCTTCATCTTAAACTTTAAGTCAGAGTCTCAGTAGCCATCTGGGTGATGCAGGGCTGCCCATCCACCAGCATATGCTTTAGTAATCAAGAAATAGAAATAAAGAAAATTCATAAACAAGCTTTGAAATAGGTAAGATGGTCATGGAAAATCTGCAATGAGGTGTCAAAGATCAGGGGTTGTAGTACAGTATAGTATAAATCTAATGTAAACAAAAGCGTGATGATACAAAAGGGCAGGGATTTTTTAACACCTTGTCAATCTAATGTCTGTCTTACCCCTGGCTTTGACACTTCTGAAGTGCTATGGTTTTTTTAAAGGGCAAAATGGGACTGAGCAACTGTAAGGGCTCGAGGCAAAGAGGGTGTTAACACTTTATAAGTTAGACAGCTGTACATGACGTAGTGACCCAGTCTGTGCAGGTATCAGTTTTTCTATTTAATTTTTCTCCCAGGAAGGTTGGCAGTGGGTTAGGGGTAGCCGAAACCTTCTTTAAAAAATCGGAATCAGGGGTATTACTATTAAAATCACATTTTCATAAAACTCAATAAAAATCGTAATGATCCCCCAAATTCATAACGGTGGACAGCCCTGCGATGTCACCTGTCTCTCCTCCCCCCTCCTCCCCACCCTCTCCTCACTTTCCCACCTCCAGAGCACCCTCCAAACACTCCCTCACTTACCCTTAAGTCTGAGAGTCTCGGTTGCCTTCTGGGTGATAGCCTCCGCCTTGTCCTTGGCCTGGGTGACCTGTTTGCTCACAGCCTCCACATTGACCGCCATTCCGGGCAGTCCCACGTGCAGCTCAAACTGGGAGCAGTGGAAGATGACCACTTCGTCTCCATCCCTGGACAGAGGACAAGATGACCAGACAGATGCGATAAGGGATGGGGGATGGTGACGAAAAGTTTGAGTGCTATGCAAGCACAAGACTTTTGTACCATGGGTTGCCATGGGTGCAATTCTCAGTAGAATACCTGAGTGCAGGTGTGAAAGACAGTTTTTGAGTCAATAGGTTCTTTCTCTCATTGATCTAAGACTAGAACTTTTCAAACTGTCCACTTCAAGGCACAGTCAGTTACCAATACCATGCCAACTCTACTGAATCTTGACAGGGATTTTAATTTCTAAACTGTATAATAAATAAAAAGCTCCCAAACTGCTACTGTTGAGCATAAAGCATAAAAAATACCATTTAAAGTACCACAGACACCAGATAACTACAACGATCTGTCCCTGCAAGAAAGTGATTATCTTCAGACTATGTACACAGCACACAAGACTCAGACACCACATGATGTAAAATGTTTTAAACTAGTAGGCCCTACAATCCCCAAAATGCTAGGGTGGAGAAGTAGATCAAACTGGAACACATCCCCTGCACTGCAAGACACACACGACCTCAAGACAGGAAACATGGCCAACCCAATTGAATTAACACTGCAGGAAAAGCTATTATGTGGGCCAACAGATGAACTGAACAGGATGGCCCAATGTATGATAGGAACCGGACTTCAAGTGTGATGTGATTGAGAAGACCGAAACTACTATAGATGTAATGTTACCAATATATCAATGAATCCTTTTTCTGTTGGGTGTGACATTTTTTTACGTTCAATTTATGTTTCTTTTCATTGCTTTCAAGAAATTGTGCCATTTGTTAGTTTTTAGTTTTAGTAGAGCGCCAGAAGATTAGAGGTGTTACAAGAGAGTAACAAACATAAAAAGGAAGAAGGGGAGAGAAGGACGATAGATGTTTCATAGGAAAGAAAGCAAACCACATCAGAGCACCTGCCTACCACTCACTGCCATATATATGCTGTTAGGAGTACACTTGTGTGTTGCTGTTGAAAACTGGTGGTGTTGGGTCAGCACAACAAGAGAAGCTCACCTGTAGAAGTTCTCAAGGTACCAGTCGAAGGCACGCTCAGCGTGAAACTTGCCGTCCAGGGCAACCAGATGTTTTCTCACCATATCTGCTGGTTAATTAACGTGACTGGATGAAAGGAATATGTGTCTTCACAGATCGTCCACACAGAGAGGGACAGAGAATATCTGAGGAAGACCAAATTTGGGGGGGGGGGGGGAAGGTTAACGTCAGGCTGGAGGTATATATGTGGTTAGTTGGTGTATTATTTCAAGAAAGTAATTTCGAGTACCTATTGGACATTGAAGAAGAGAACAAGTGCAGCCCCAGGCGTTTGAAAGCCACTGACTGCGGAAAAGCGTGAGCGTGAGTCGCAGTTGAGGGGCAAGAGAACTGTCGCTCATAACGTCAGTGCAAGTTAGATCGCTACGAGAGGTTGGTGTGTATAGTTAAACCACAATTACAATATATACAATACATGTACTTTCATTATAGCCAGTGAAGTGATTTCTTCCAGTGGTGCTATGATTTCTTCCAGTGGCTTCAACCCCTAGCCAGCATCATGAACACATATGTCAGAAATTTATTAGAGTACTGTATTCTGAGTTCGTTTGTTTATTTGTTTGTTTTAGTAGAGGTTTTACGGCGCTCGCAACTGCATAAGGTCATATGAGCGCCAGAAGATTAGAGGTGTTACAAGAGAGTAACAAACATAAAAAAGAAGAAGGGGAGATCAGGACGATAGATGTTTGATAGGAAAGAAGGAGCAAACCACACCAGAGCACCCGCCAACCACCCACATTCTGAGTTCACTGCATCCTCCTACAACAGTACAACATACAGATAAGATTACTTGTGAGTGAAGTGCTGGGTCAACCGATAGAACAGGGCAACAGGTTGTTACAAATTTGTCCACAAACAATCATCAATGACAGAAGCCACAGGAACGAAAACATTCAAGCCTCAACTATATGTCAGTGCTCTGACACTTGGTCAAGCACTATGACGTTAGAGTGGTCAAGACAATTGGACAGCTGACACCATCAACAGGAAATAACGTTGTCGAGTATGGAGATAGAAAAGAGGTTCAGTTCCTGCTTCTCGAACTGTATCCTCCTCTGTAACCATCAACAACATCCCCACCATACACACAGCAAGAGGAAGAAAAACAGCAGCAGTAAATTAATTGACAATTTTCAAAAAACATTAATTCATGTAGAGAGGTTTTTATGTCCCCATCATCACAGTTTAGATCATTTAGGAGGTGAGCTTCAACCCAGCCGGTCGGGGCCAACCTGGGTCCCCTGCAAGAGATGGCAAAATGCCTAACCACTACAACAGATGTTGGTTGTTTTAGTCTTGTCTTAATAAGAGTTTTACGGCATTTGAGACACAATAAAGTCATATAAGTGCCGAAGATTAGAGGAGTTACAAGTACAAGAGAATAACAAACACAAAAAAGAAGAAGGGGCGATAGAGACGATACATTTGTTAATATAGGAAAGTAGGAGCAAACCACACCAGAGCACCTGCCAACCACCCTCACCCATGGGTTGTGTAACCCATCAAATATACACATTCACAATAACACAGAAAACTGCATAAAAATAAATACTATTAATAAATAAGCAACTATTTTAATTATTTTCACTGCAACAAACAGCAGCAGGGATTTCAAGCTGAGCCAGGCACAAAGTCTCTGCCACATGAACACACAACACAATAGTGACCTTATCTCGTGAAGCCAGTACCGGCAAGTCACTTTCTGCAAAGTCGTTCCCGATCTATTGTTCTCTGCGTGTGTGTGTGTGTGTGTGTGTGTGTGTGTGTGTGTGTGTGTGTGTGTGTGTGTGTGTGTGTGTGTGTGTGTGTGGGTGTGTGTGTCTCAC